GCAGTGTTAAATCATTTAATGAATCATAAACATTACACGATTTAACCACTAGAGGGCAGCAGTGTTAAATCATTTAATGAGTAATAAACATTACACGATTTAACCACTAGAGGGCAGCAGTGTTAAATCATTTAATGAATCATAAACATTACACGATTTAACCACTAGAGGGCAGCAGTGTTAAATCATTCAATGAATCATAAACATTACACGATTTAACCACTAGAGGGCAGCAGTGTTAAATCATTTAATGAATCATAAACATTACACGATTTAACCACTAGAGGGCAGCAGTGTTACATAATTTAATGAATCATAAACATTACACGATTTCACCACTAGAGGGCAGCAGTGTTACATAATTTAATGAATCATAAACATTACACGATTTCACCACTAGAGGGCAGCAGTGTTAAATCATTTAATGAATCATAAACATTACACGATTTAACCACTAGAGGGCAGCAGTGTTACATCATTTAATGAATCATAAACATTACACGATTTAACCACTACACTACATTGGTAGAAAAAATGAAGACGACAGTGGTGCCATACCCCCCCCCCAAAAGTCTAAATGTGTGCGCAAGTACAATCCTGACTTTCTTAACACTTTCAGTGTGTGGAATGTGGGCTAATGCTATCAAACGAAGCACTGAAGCCTTCAAAAATAAAGCGACACCAAGCGACGAAACATCCAACGCCCGTGGGAAAGCCTGTTGGGCTTCTTGTTGTGTATGCACGTTTACATACACATGATAAATAAATGTCTTTGTGATCATCACATTGTATCATCTCATTTATTTGACAAGGGTTTTGCCTGTTCAACTCCGCGAGGACGCCGGGGTCCTCGATCCCCTCCCCTTCCGTTCCGTTCCTACGGCTTGCTTGCGCAATCTACCTCACAAAACATGGCCGCGTTTGGTATCCCAGCATGCCCAAAACCCTCATCTTTGCAAAGAAATCATTGATTTTCTTTCATTTGTTATGGATTTTTCACAAAAGGAGCCCAAACACACACTGTCCAAATTCGCCATAACCGCTGGAAGTCGGATCTTGCAGCATTTCGACGGAAAAAGACACATTACAGACCCAACAATGTGCTAGCGGATGTTACCATGGAGCTAGTAGCTTCAGAAAACGCTAGTACGTAAAGTATAAACCTTACCTTCTTCTTCTTCTGAGCCGTCAACCAATGTTTAACCTTGCGTAACTGAGCTACCCTCGTAATTGATCGTGCGCTCAGTCGCAGCCATTACGCACAGCAAGTCCGCTACTTACATACCACGTCTACGACCATATATATATATATATAGTTTTTGCAATTTGCAAAGGCTAAAAATAAAATGAAAATAATATAATATAATATCAAAATATAAAGGGAGAAACACCTTTAGTGTGTCAGAATATCATTTGGTTACCATGTGTCCATTTGGGTCTCCAAATATCCTTTTAGAGCTCCGCCTGGATCTCTTCATGGAAGAAACACTGTAGAATCGTCATACTTTGTCCAATCTTCTTCAAATTTGAGGCGGTTGTTCACTGATAGTGTAGTTACAGCCCTATACTCCCTATACAGCCCTATATTTACCTGTACAGATACAGCCACAGGCAGTTATTTATACTGAAAGTCACAGTGGTTCAGAAGCTACAGCCATTTTAATTTGGGTATGTCATTTTAGGTGGTTTTGCTCCAAAATAGGGGTGGAGTTGAACAGGTAACAATATAGTTATTGAATACAAATCAAACCAAGAGTGAGATCAATTAGTTAAACTACTTTGTACTTGAAAAGTTGGGCCCCGAGGTCAAAAAGGTTAAGAACCCCTGCTGTAGGCTACCTGATGTCGCTGTTCCTCTAGCTGTGGGTGGATCTGCTGAGGTGTAAGAAGTGCATTGCTTTGCATATTGAGTCCTGATTACAGAGCGTGAAACCTGAGCTCCATGGGCAGCTTGAGAGACACATTCAATCATTCGTAGCAGCTCACAGAAACACACTCGACGTCAATTTGGACAGCTGTCACCAGAGTTTATCAAAGCTCTACCGACGATGGCATTGTGGGCTCAGACTTTCGCGCTTGTCTACTTAATAACATCAGCGGTAAGAGGGAGAGTGGAAAAAGAGCCGTCTCCAGAGTGCAGAGCATTCCTCTACATGGGAACACCGCCGACCGGGCTGGAGCACCCCTCCCTTCAGTTCATTTGCCAACGTTACAACAAGAGGCCACGCTACATGACACTGTTCAACACTGTGGACCATATACCTGTGTACTCTGCATACACTTTCAAACGCTCAGATGGGGAGAAATGCGTGGATGTCCCATGGATGTATGAACCGCAGGTAAGGAAGAACTGTTGAACACAAGGTGCTAAAAAAGGCTTTTAACATGAGCAGCATGCTGTAATTGTTTTTCCAAATTAAAAAAGAAACTCATGCAGATGTTGTGTAAGCACATTCTACTGTCCTATCCTCATCATCTCACGTGCACTGGCTCTGTCTGTCTGTCCCACACAGCTGTCCACATCCTCTGATACAGAAGAGATGCAGCCCTTCCCGCGTGGTTACATGCACATGAATTTTGAAGATGCCCAAGCCGTTCTGGACGACTATACGAACGCCATCCTTTACGAGCGCGGCACCCTCAACCCGGACGAGCATCAGGACGACCCCAATGACAAGGCCTCCACCTACACCCTCACCAATGTCGTGCCCATGGTGCCCGACTTCACCAACAGAGTGTGGAACAAACAGGAGCACGTCATCCGCAAACGGCTCAACAACTACTGCCACGGTACAGCTTACGTCGTCACAGGCATCACCACCTCGGGGAACATGATCCGCCGGGAGAACATCAACCGCATAGCAGTCCCCGCGTACTTGTGGTCCGCCTACTGCTGCGTGGACTACGACCACAACGCACCTTATAACGAGCGCTACAAGTTCCCATCTTTTGCTCACTATGGGCTGAATGAGGAGGAGAACAACGAGGTGGTGGAGATCTCCGTCCAGAAGCTGAAGGAGTTCCTCAAGAAGACAACCTTTGTAGACCAGAACTTTCAGATCTTTGTGGGTGACTGCATCCCACCAGGGTCCAGTAAAAACTAAATAGTCAAATATTTAGCGACAAGGCAGCTATGTGCCATTTTGCCATTTTGCCTATCTTGGGCCACGTTGTTTTTCTTCTTCTTTAATAGGGCTTTTTTTGACTTGTCATAATAAGAAAAGCACAGGTGTAACATTAACAATGGTTCTGCACAAGTGTCCCAGTAAGCCATGACAGTGAGCCAGCATGCAAAGTACCAGGACACTGATGTAGAAGCAGCTAAATGGTATTGAGCCATGATTCATTCTATTATTCACAGCCGTGCTTCTCCTGCTGTAAAATGTCAGAATGTCTTCTACAGCCTAATGTAGGAGCTCAACATGGAATCTGCTTCACTGGTAACTTTACAAACTCAGAGACTGAGTTGTTTAGCAGTGCTCCTCTTGTACTTTGAACCCTTTATTTAGAAAAAAATGAACTGACTGAAAATGCAACATAAATGTACTGTACCTGCTTTGTCTAATCTGTGGTAATAAAACATTGCACACTATAATTAAACTGTCCCTGACCCTTCATTTTTTCTGTGATATTACATACATTTCTCATGATCACTTACAAAAGCAACACATTAAAATGAAAATGGTAAACCTACTCTATAATGATTTCATACTTCTCACTATAATATATATATATATATATATATAGTGTGTCTCTTTCTTACTGCCCTCCATGAAACAATCACCAGCATTATAACTGAACTAACAACTTTTATGGGGTCACTGCTGTTGTAGTCGTATGACATTTACCACAGACTCGATCCTTGATTCATTGGTATTCATACAAGAAGGTGGACTTAAAGGCCAGAGCTGAGACAGACGGCTGCTTTACATTTGTGTAAATAAACTACAATCTAAAGCTAGTGGGTCAGATCTCCTTCTCTTGTCTGACACAGGGATTCACATTCAGTGTCTGATCTGCATTTTTATCTCCACCAGGAGGATCATGAGATCAGTCAGTGGGTGTCTCTGTGTTTGTCCACATCTCACATACTGCTGCTGCAAACTGCTAAATAATGTATGGCTGCATGCCAAAGTGCCTCTTGTGGTTGCAGCAATTCACACTTTCTCAAAACACCTTTTATTGTCCGTTATAGCCTGTTAATGCCTCACTCACTACTATTAACCGGCCCCTGACCGGTAGGGGCCACAAGTCATAGCACAGCTGAGTGCATCGCTGCCAGAGACACAGTGAGGGAGATTCATTTGCTCAGTAGACCCGAAGCCTAAATAAACGTTTAAAGTCGCGGTTACGGCCGTGAGAAGGAGCTGTGACGGAGCTGAGACGGAGCTGAGACAGACGCCTGCACAGAGGCGGTGCAGACATCTGCATACATTACAATGACAGCGCATCTGCTGTGGGAGACATGCGAGTGAACAACACATCTGATACAGTCTGAATGCCAAACGTACAACTTGAACGAAAGCTCTCATTTTTACTGCGAGAGAATAAAGTCAGTGTCATTTTTCCCCTCTAGTCATAAACTGCTCTCCATGATTGATAACATTCACTGCTTTTGAATTACTGCTACGACACTCGTGGAGCTTTGAATATATGGAAAGGACTTTACAATGGGAGGCCAGTTTGCTGGAAGTACAGATGAGGCAAGAAGGGAAATGTTGACAGAGCTGGGATAGCGGCTGTACTTGTCAGGCCGTAGCGGGTTGGCAGTGGTGTAGAGGTCTAAAGGGACAAAAAAGATTGAGAGAAAGAGAGCTTCGGTGATGACACCTGCATCAGGAAACTGTGTCTCCCCCCTGGCGGCTGTCATGGCCGTGCTGACCTGCGCGTTGCTACGGGGGGCTCGGGCCGGAGTGGTGGGGGACTTCAACCATGTGGAGCGCTGTAAGGACTCCCTCTACATGGGCACCCCGCCCAGAGGCTACCTCAGCAACTCCTTCACCAAGATCTGCCAGAGGTATGAGGACAAACCCCGCTACGTCACCCTGTACGACCCCCACAGACACATCCCCATCTATTCTGCCTATACATTCAAGAAGTCAGACGGGGAGAAGAAGGTGGACTTCCCCTGGATGTTTGAGCCCCAGGTGAGTGTTCCATCAAGCTCCAAATTGTTAGTAAACTATAAGTCAGTTTTTAAGTCAGAGCCAATCCAAATCCATTGTTTTTGCAATGTATACTACATTGTATTGTGCCATATAATAGTTAATAACCTATCACGTTTCGTTATGAAACAAGATGTGGCCAAGATGTGGCCAATGTCAGACATCAATAATCGTATGTCTGACATCACACAAGGCAAATATTTCATATAATTACACCCAACAAGTAGTTTAGAGAGCTGTGGTAACTATATTACTGTTGCTACTGGCATCAAAGTGAGCTCGAGATTAGCTGCTTTATTGGCTATGAATAGTATTTCAATGAGATAGTGTAGCCTTAACCATTTATGCTCTGGTATGTATTCAAATGTATCCCTTGCAAATCTTTATTGTGAATGTGGCAAATTGTCAGAATGTAAAAAGTCTATGACTTTACAAATGAACAATTATTTTCTGCTCTAACTTTCAGAAGTAATAAAACAGTCTACTAAATTCCTGCCATGTTGTGCCTCTCCTTGTCTGCTCTAGCTGGCCTCAGAGAAGAGCAGCAGTAACATGGAGTCCTTCCCCCAATCTTCAAGCATGCACATGAACTTCGAGGACACCCAGGCAGTCCTGGAGGACTACGCTGATGTGGTTCAGTACGAACGTGGCCAGCTGAACCCTGACGAGCATCAGGCTGACCCTCTGGACAAAGCCTCCACCTACAGCCTGACCAACGTGGTGCCCCAGATCAGGGAGTTCAACATAGGGCCCTGGGCCGAACACCAGGACCTCATCCGCAAACGTCTCAACAACTACTGCCGAGGCAAAGCCTTTGTGGTCACCGGGGTCACCACCTCCGGGCACACGATCCGTCGCAACAACCTGGACAGGGTGGCCGTACCGGAGTACGTGTGGTCGGCCTACTGCTGCGTGGAGTTTGACCAAAACGCACCGTACTTCGTGCGCTACAAGTTCCCCGTGTTCGCAGCTTACGGGCTGAACGATCGCGTCAACAACCACATGGTGGAAGTTCCTCTCAAGAACCTGGAGAAATTTCTCAAGGGGAGGATGGATGTGGATAAGAACTTCCAGATATTCTACAGTGATTGTGTGCCAGATAACTGAGATGAAGTGATCTTTGTTGTAATTCAAGTTTAAAGTATGTTAGAAATGTACTTTAGCACTGCGGAGAGGTACAGGGTTCTTACACTCAAAGCATACATGGATCTAAGATGTGTTGTCAAATCTAAATATATATTGTAAGCAATAAAATGTGGAATTGATTGGAGTCTGTGTCTGAAGTCCAAATGTCCATATAAGGATTATTTTCATTGAGATTCCTCTTTATTATTCTCAACTAAGCGTTAGGTCTACATGTCAAATATATTCAGTTTACCATCAATTAAGACAAAGAAAACCTACAAATCTTCATATTTGAGAAGCTGGAACCATAGAATCTAAGTATATTCGGTTGAAAAATGACTTGATGATTGACCTTAATTTGCAAACTCACACATAGAGAGTTTGAAAATTAATACAAACTAAAGCAATTTACGTTTGAAGCTACAAAAGAAACCATCGAGGGAAATTTAATTTATGATTAATTACATTTAAAAAATGAAGAGCAACAATGGAGAAATTGTTCCAAGTTCTTTTATCACAATGTTCTTCAAATACGTTGTAATCATTGATTTCATCCACAGGATGGCATTGCAGCTCATTATAAATGCTGAAAATGCAGCACAAAGTCTGTCCTAATAAGACACTTCCTATAGCTCGTCTTCACCAATAATCATGAAATTGTAAGTTACAGAAATATGTCTGTCGGTTAGTTTATGTTCCCTTGTTGGCAGTCTGAGGCATACACAGATTATAAAATGAAGACTGGTCCAGAGACGACACCCTTTTCCACGACACCCACCCCCGCGTCTGCAGCTCGGTCTTCTCCAGCGGACCTCCATAGTAGTGAGGGTCCACGACCAGCAAGTAGCTCCCATTGTCCCCAGTGCACACCCCTACTACCCCCTTAGAGGAGTTGTCCCTGTCCCCTCCCATCATGACGGGAGATCCGTGCTTCTCAAAGTGCCGATGGAGCTCTTCCACTGCGACGTGCTCCAGCTCTGCCCCTCCACCTCTGACGTGCACCAATTTACAGGGGACATCGTAGAAACAGTCAAGGACCAGGGAGGCTTCACATGTTCCTATCCACTCCCTGGAGCACGAGAACGAGCCCGGCTTGTCCCCCATGGTGACCAGGGCTTGCTGGATTTCTGGGAGGCTTGGCGGAGCTTGGTGTTTGTCATTAAGTGGAAAGCAGTTACGGGAAAGCCAGGAAGCCATTGTCTGAACGGTGCGGTAGCCACATCCCCAGCCCCTGTCATCTTGTCCATCACAGCCATAATGGAAGTAGAGATAGTTTCCTTTTATCTGAGAACATTTCACAGGATCTGTAAGTGGATTAGGAAGACCGGTGTGGACATTACTTGATAAGGTTTTGGTATTGTTCATGGTCTTCCCGTCTTCAGCTCTACCTCCTCCCCAGTCAATCTCCTCAGATTCCGCTAACACAACATTTGTATCCATTTGACCTATTTGTCCCTACTGAGCACACACTTTGCATTTAACGTACTGTATTTGGTTTTAAGTGCTTCCAGCAGTTCGTTACTTCATAACATGAACTATCCATCCGGAAGTCTTCTGGTGTAACTGCAATACCTGTCCCTTCGCTGCACATGGGAGAACACGTTGTTCCGCCTTAGAATTGTTCCCACTGACGGTGGTGCCTTCAGGAGCTTTTCGTCAGCTCCGTTTCATTCTTGCGAATATAACCATAACTTGTAGTTTGAAAGTGAATTTATTTTGGAACATCAATGAAATATTTACCCTACATTTTCCATAAAAAATAAATAATCTGAACAACTGTTAGCGTTGGAAAGAAAGTGGAACAAAGCTGCAGTAATAAGAAGCACAACATGCCTAACATGACCGGCAAACTAGCTTTCATTAAAAGGACTAGTTGTCATGATTTTATACAGTATAGTCATATAAGATAATTAATAATACATACCTCGTCGTTTCAAGTCGTGGCTTAGCATAGCCTACAATGCAATCTATTGTTCCGGGTGTTTGAGACTTACAATGTTTTTAGCCGCCTTTAAAGATGGCATAAACTCTATCCAGTGCACGTGAGCGCAGCGCATCTCAACACACCTGGTTGTAATTAATTTTACGGTAATCCATGAATCACTAGCTGTTAAAAAAATATATAAAAGATAAATGGCTACCCGCGTAAAATATACACAATTAGTCTCCTCATTCATAGTTTTGCTGTCTGTGTGCGGCGTTTTCTTTGCTAAAAAAAGTGATGTAGAACTAGGAACTCGGGAAAGCGTCGGACTTGAAATAAAATGCGGTGAAGTGGAGGTGACAATAACCGTAAAGCGACGGTTTTTTGAGGAGAAACGTGTTCCTTTCAAACCTGAGAATCTTCGACTTGGAGCAAACTTAACGCAGCAGAGGTCCTGCGAAGCAAAGGGACCGCTGTCTGACTCTGACGTGGTCATCTCTGCAGGGCTGCAAGAATGTGGGACTGAGTCCAGTGTAAGACAAGGGGAGAGAGGGGGGACAGGTTAGGACATGAGAGGCCCAGAGTAACAGTTAGCCTGATGATAACCTCTCTAGTGTAAAGAGAGAGACACACTTTTCAAATATCTATCAGACATGGAAAGCTCAATATTGAAGCACAAATTGATCTCAGGCAATTTAGGTATTTTTGTCATTCATGGTTTGATGCATTTCTTCTGCCATCATCCAGGTTCATGGTGAGTGGCTTGTGTATTCCAACCAGCTGGTACTGATTCGTGCTGTGGTTCCCACCTCTGCAAGCAGTGTGATAGTTAGAGGGGTGACTACTGTCATCATACCTGTTGAGTGCCATTATAAGAGGTAGGCCTAAGACAGAGAGTGCCATATTATTGTGTGAATCCATGCGTGTAGAGTAGGAACAAAGTCAGGAGTGTAACTGTCATCAACACTTTGTAATTGCATAAGCAGTGCCTTATCTTTGTGTGAGCACAGAAAGCAGACAGTGAATGGAGAACCGCTAACCCCAACCTGGCAACCCATGACATCCACTGTCAGTGCTTTTGGCCTCCTGCGCTTCTCCCTTCGCACCATGGCAGGTGAAATAAACACCTGTTTCAGTCCAGATGCAATATATCAGCAATATTGTTTCTATCTGGAACATATCAAATTGGGACTGATAAAAGCTTTGTTCTCATGCAGATGACTGTAGCGCTCTGCGTAGTTCCTCGGTGTATCAGCAGGGGGAAGCAGTGTTTTTGGAGGCCAGCGTGGAGGCCCCTCTGCACCCTCCTCTTGCTCTGTTTGTCGACCACTGTGTCGCTACGCTGAAACCGGACCCTCTCTCCCTGCCCGGCTACAAGTTTATCAGCAAGCATGGGTACATTTTTACTAAAAAAAATAAGAAAAAAGTGTTACTCATAAATATAACACTCATTTGTGGATAGTTCAGCACATCAAAACTCACACTCAGCAACAAGAGGTCATTATACAGCACAGTGCTTAATCCAATAATCAGATGTAGGATTAGAGTGGGTACTCATCTATCATGGAGTCATTTCAGCATGTGTTGCTCCTCTGATGCAGATGTCTAATGGACAGTGTATTGCCGGGGTCTTCATCTAAATTCCTCTCAAGGAAGCAAGACAACAGACTGTGCTTCAGTGTCCAAGCCTTCCACTTCAACCAGGAGTCTTGGGAGCAGGTAACAACTCCTCGTTGGACACGAGCCGCCAGTCCATTACTTTCTGAATTTCTAATACTTATAATCAGAGCCATCATTTTAGCATAAAGTTGTGTGTGTGTAATATCTTGGGATTGTTGTGTTACTATTCCTCTTGCATCTAAAGGGTATTGTTTGTCAGACATTTCACATTTTAACTAATCTTTGGCCTGAAGATAATTATGATTTTGTTGAAATTAAATTCATTTGTCTCTCTCCTTCTAGATGTTCATCAGCTGCCACATGAGGGCCACTCTGAAACCAAACTCTCACAGCCACCTTGATAAAGCCTGCTCCTTCCATAGACCCACATTCAGGTTCGGCTGTTTAGTGCCCTTCAGTTGTTGAATCGGTTCATCGTGATTTTTCAGTATCGGCTCATAACGTCCACTGATGAAAAGTGTATTGGATCATCTGGGGCACAGCTGAGGTGTGTTATCAGGATGTTTCTCTGTCATTCAGCTGGAGAGCCACAGAGGGAGACAATGCTCTGTGTGGATGCTGTGACTCTGATGACTGCTTTGCACAGACCGGAGAGGAGAACAGTGGCCCCACTGAACACACAACTCAACTAGATACAGGTTGCTCAGCCCTTTATTTATATATATTATGGAGGTTTTTATAAAACAATTACACGATGACTTAGCCAGTTGTGTGTTTCCAACAGAAAAGGAGCATGAGGCGGACACAACAGTTGGGCCACTTCACACCCTGCCACGCTCCCATTGGACAGGCCGCCTGTCAGTCACTAAAGAGCCCTTTTCCAACTCTACAATTATGACTGTGACCAACGCCAGGGGAGTTAGGGGACAATAAAGAATCCATGTCATCATGAGGGTTGACATTTAGGATTCTTGGTTCTACTGATTGGAGGCACCTACAAAAGCCATTTGAAGCTCCTAAAAGTTATTTTTCATAACTTTGAAGCCATGGAGGCCTGTTGCAGCATTATTTTACTATAACCATCACAAAAAGCTCCACACACACCACTGCCGGCTACAAACAGAACATGTTGGCAGAAGAAATGAGTGTGCCATAATGTAAACTGAGTAATAGACTTGAATACATTTATGTAAGGAGGAGAGGTTTTTTCCTCTGTGTCACAGATGTGTTCATTATTTCCGACAGATGAATACTAAAGGATGCTGCCTAATTTTGTTTCTGTAAACTTCAGTAATTCCAACAACAACATTGTGCCGCAGATCGTCTGACGTCTGTGTGAGCATGTAGTACAACACTTCCATGCTGCATGCCGGCGCAGTACTGTTCCTGTTTTGACTGAGGACGCTCCTAAACCACAACTCAGTCGTGCCTACTTCGAGGAAGTTGTATCTGACACCAGGAGAAACAAACGGAACAACACAGACCAATCTCCACCCTGATGGTGTCATTTTTGTGCATTGTACAATAAACAATAATTTGCAAATGATGTGTTGAAGTTACTGTCATACATTTACAGTAGGTTGTAAATCTATTTTTCTTTAGTTATCTCAATACTTTTAAATGTCTTTTCATTCTAGACAAACCCATGAGGAATTTCCACAAAGAGGCCTAAGAACTATAATGGAACCTAAAATATCTCTGAGGCAACAAGTGCACTAGAATAACCAGACATTTGAGTAAGAATGGGACCGATACGCAGCCATGCACTGTGCTTCACATCCCGTCTGCAGTAGAAACACTTGTCTAGTCCTGTGAGAGGACGTGACAGACCAAATGGGGAAACCTAGTTTTCACTTGGCAGTGTTTTGTTTGATGACAGCAGGGCTACAATACTTATGGATCTCCGTCGCTGAAAATAAGGCACTGCATTAATGTAATTCACAATTCCATTTTAAAGAAGATCTATTCTAGACCTAGAATATGCTGGTTACAGTATAGCAGCCACATCAAGTTCTATGGTGTTAGGCTTTGTTGCGTAATGTTTTAATAAGCTTGTGGTTTGAACAGATGTGGGACTAGTTATATTTTGAAATACCCAAAAATAAGGTTCTGTGTCAGAAGACTTTAGGATGCATTGGTTCTGTTTTGATACAGTATCATGGTTAACAGCAATATTTGATCTGTTCCACGTAGACACCAGCAGCTTTTTAGAGGGCTATATGCATGCATAAATGGAAATACAATGTACAGGTGAAATGGGGTCAAATGTCTTATCGTGCCATTTGATTATGTTCAACACTAGAATTATTTTTTAATTTCATATAAATTGTGTTTATATTTTAAATTACTTGTGTGAGCAGAACTGGACAGCGGCTAAGTGAAATAATTCTTAATAAATAGTTTCCCTATGATATTTAAGGCATTGGGCATGTTGTACCTCCTCACCCCTCGTATCAGTTATGTGGTTAGTGCTCTTTTGTGTTGTTGTATCAAATATTGTGTCTCGTGTTAAACTAGAGTGTGTGATGCAAGTATTGGTCTTGGCATGGCACACCAGATAATGTTTTATGTTTGATGTCTCTTAGTTGGAGCCTCTCAACACAGACAGGGAACATTGAGGTCCTCTCTATAATACAATTGCTTGCAAACTGATCCAGTGTACAACAGAGTTCTTGTCCTGATGCAACAGTACAAGGATGAAAACAAACATGCGGTGTTAACATCACTGGATACTATTCCAGATCCCGATCATATTGTCACAAAGAGGGCCGGTTGACTTCAGCGCCCGCCTTCGTTAGGATTAACCTACTGCTCTGCATTCAAACACAGCTTGGACTTTTAACTACATAGGGACAGAATGAATAATCCTGGAGTTTGGGGTTAATATTTGTAGCCATTTATGCTATTGTTTAGCTTCAGAAAAAGGCTACCCTGTCTAAATTTAAATACAAATTTTCAACAGCAAATGTTTTTCTGAATGCATTTGCAAAACATTCACTGACAACGCATTCCATTCGTTTTCCCTACAACATCCGGTTTTGTAATACAGTATTGTATTGCCGCTTGAGCATGATTAGCATTATTTATGGTTATGTTTAGGGACTCAAACCACTTGGTTAAAAGTCCAGAAAAGATCACGGTCTTGGTTAAATATTGAAACTGACTTGATGTCACAACGATGGACAGTGAAAACAAGGGAAGGACACAAACAGGGGTTCAGATGAAGCAGTAGGTCAGGCAGGCTGGTAACAGAAGCTTCGAATACATGACAGAAAACCACATGGCAACTTTGATGAACTGAGAGTGAAATAAAGGTTTTGGGCCAGTATATATAGAGAGAGAGAGAGAGGCTGATGAGGGAATGGGGTGGAGATGTGTAGATGGGCGGGGTAGCTCAGGTGACTGCACAGCAGATGAGGGAAGTGGTAACAGGGGGTGCAGATGGATGTGTGGAACTGATGCATTAAGAGAAAAAAAAGGTGGGTTGGATGGATGGCATCTTAGTTGGATGCAAAACAAGACATGGTTGCATTGGAAGATACAGTATTTATTCTTTTGTTTAGACGCCAACATAGAAAGGTAAACAAGAATGAGGCACAAGGGAGATGTTGAGCCAAGAATAATGCTCTAGTGTTGGCTGTAAATTTCGAAAGCAAACATATACTGAAGTAATCAGATTAATGTCAGACAATTGTCCTATTGTCTATCAGGCTTATGTTGTCAGTAAGTTGTTGAACATGAATAACCCATCCAGGCAAACGAAGAGAAAGTCCCATCTAAGGAGACATTTTACAAAATGGAGGTGAAAGGTTGAGTTACAATTTAAAACCTGCAGACTTAAGCTGCACAAGCTGTACAACAGTCAGGGCCAGCAAGTCCAGGAAATAGCAGACAGGACAGCCAAAAGTAGGGGGAAGAGTGTGAGGTGGAAATGACAAGTGATGAGAGGCCCATTGGATAATGGAAGGTGTGAGGCCAGGGGCAGCTGAGCAACAAGAAGAATACCAGAAACAAGAAAAAGTCGGATGATACCGCCAGATAATGGTCATGTCTAGACGGCTAGCCTAGATTTGAGAAACGAGATGGTTGAGGTTAGGTATTGACCTCGAATGATTAAGGTTTACATCAGACAGAGAGTCTTGCGAGGGTTTCTGCACATTTTCGCAAACCTAGGAAATATTTGACATAAGGCAAAGTCTTGGGTCGCAAAGGTGACAAAGAAGACAGCATGGTTAGGGAAAGGATGTGATGTTGTTGGTGTCAGAATTTAAGGCAGGTATGGTTCAACAGCATTTGAGCAGGGAGAAACTCCAGCGATAAGGTTTGCTGTCCTGGAATGCTTCTCCACACTTGTGGTTATCGCCATAGGATCACATTATGTTCAACAGAGGGATACAATTCATGTCACTGTGGATGCCTGAAAGCTGAAACAGTAACTTCCGACCTCGTCAGTGGCTACTGTCTTGACTCCTGCCTTGGCTCCTGTGTCCCTCACAGACAGTCCCCCCATTCTTTTATCTCAGCTTCCTGTCTTGTGTCGCGCCAGAGGAGTAGACCTAGCTGGCTGCGAGCCCAAAACTTGGATGAGAAAGCGAAAAACAAACACACACACACACACGCACACACACACACACACACACACACACACACACACACACACACACAC